ATTTATTTTTATTAAAATAGCATGTTGGCCTTTCAGTTAGTAGGGAGCTATTATGATGCTGGAAAGATGCTAAAAAATATCCATCTTTGTTCCTAATTTCCTGCCCAACCCCTCCTCTTCCCAAAGGGAAAGTAATAATTGTCCCACATGTTTTGTCATGTCCAGTGGAATTTATTCGGGGTCTGTGGTTCTATTGTATTTCAGTCCTGTAGATGTGTGGGATTATTCAGCATTTCTGAGTGCATAATTTAGTTTAGGTATATGCATTTTGTGATGACAAATTAAAAGTTCTAGTTCTCATATTTTGTAACGCTCCCAGGACCCAGGAAGTATTACAGATTTTACCAGTTGATCTTGTAACCTGACATCGCACTGAACTGGTCACTGTTTTTGTTTTTTAAAAACCTGGTTTTCAAGAACATGAAGGAAACACAAACGATAAACTATGCTCCTTGAAAATTGTTGGGGCTGTAGTGAGTTGCATTGTATCAGTTGTAGGCACATCATTATGCAAAAAGTCAGCAGATTGTCAGGAACATGTTCTGGTGCAAGTTTTTCAGGTTATTCAAAATATATTTGTATTTTAATTATGTATATGCTTCAATACATTTGCTATTTACAAAAGCTGGCTCATAGTTTGAGTTTGTCTGGTAATAATGAACAGATTTTCCTCATTAATTTCAGACTCCGTTATCTCTTAAAATTTCACATGCAGCAATATTCTCCTAGAGTACAAAAAGCAACGGTGGATTATACTCCACATTTCATTAGCAATTGTAGCCTGGGCACAAGAGTTTATTTTAAATTGGACATGTCTCGTGTGAGGAGTGTAAAGTAAAAAAGCAAAAGAGATCAGATGAAACAGTCAGAAGATTCTTTAAGAAGGAGCGGATGTAGAAAGTACTATGCTAGAGAACAGGGTAGGTTCTAAGACAAAGCGAAGAGAATAACAGATGCATTGGTTTCTGCACTATGTCCAACCGAGTGGACAAACGAAATTGGATTTATCAGTCCTTTGCTCAGAGATTAGAAAGTGGTGATTCTAGGGATGCATCATCCAAACTCACCATCAACAGAAGGGAAACGGACAGTTTTGCCATGCCCAGTGAAAGAGTACAAGGAAGTAGAATTACACTGTGCACATTTCTGCTATAGAGACCACCTCTCCCCTCTCTGTTCAGAAAGAGACCACAGTCCTGATGCAATGAAGCTCAAGTTTAAGGGCACAAAACCGCTTTTACTGAATGTGTCCAAGGTAAAGTGTCTGTCTAATGTGCCCTTGGAAGCATTGGGCCCCCTTCTTTGGTTCCTCCCAGGTAAGATCCTATCGGAGGGCCATAATCTTGCCAAATAAAGTATACCTAGTCTAACATCCAGTGAATGTGATTGTCTTGGGTGGAGAAATGTGGGAGAGAATACTTGATCAAAAATCCATGGAGTTTGATGGAAAGGCCCCTCATTGATTTCCATGGGCTGTGGATGAGGCCCAGAGAGTCAATTGGGCCAGATTTTTAAATATATTAAGATACTGAAGATGCAGACAAGCGTCTAGTGGGATTTTCAAAAGTGCCTAGGTGTTTAACCACCATTGATATCAGTGGCTGCTATTCTCATGACTCATTGACTCTCGGGGGAAAATAGTGTTTCCAGCCCTTGATTTTTGTCATAGTTCTTATGATTGGTGTTTTTCTTAAAGCTGCAGCTCCTGTAGTGAGGTGATTATATGAGAATATCGGGTAGTTTGCACCATTGGAAAAAGTAAGTTTCTGCTCTTGTGCTTGTGAGGAAAAAAGCTTGCAAATATGAGAACTAAAGGCTCAGAAATCAGAAGTCAAATTGAGAGTGGCAGCAGTAGAATTCACGTGGCTATAATGTAGCCATGGTGGCATGTAGAATGGACATTCACTTCGAATGGTCCCTTGCAAGTCTTCTGCCTTCAGCAAGAGTCAATATAGGAGGGTTTTAGGCTTCTTAAATCCATCAGCATTGTATCTTCCAAGAGTGATCATTCTCTTGCTTTGCATCCTTTGACCTCAGCTCTATAAACCTTCTGTAAAGTATACCTTCTTCTGCACATTGGACGTGACCCCACCATGGCAGTTGTCTTGTTCTCAACTGGTGCAAGACTGAAACTTGCTGGGATCATCAAAGTATACCTTCATGTTTGACAAAATCAAACCAACGTATGTTAAGAATACACTGTAACTTTTGACACGGAAAACTGTTCAGTTTCCTCTCCTTGGCTGTTTTTAATGGCCATGTTTCTGCTCCATATAACATAGTTGTCATCAGTCCTGCATGGAACACTCGTATCTGAGTTGTCACACAGACATCCCGCCATCCACAGATAGCACTGAAGTGCCATTGTTACAAGACCAATCTGAACATCTTGCTGTTAACTGACTACCCAGATAGATAAAACTATTCACCCATTCAGTGTCATTGCCATCTACATGCAGCGTTGGCAGGTCATTCTTTTCCATTTTATAGGAGGGATGCTTTTGTTTTATCACCACTAAACTTAAATCCCATAGATTCAGCAGTTTTTCGTAGCTCTTCCAGCATTAGCTATAGTTGGTCAGTAGTCTCTCCAAGTAAGGCATTATCATCTGCCTACTCAAGATCCTCTAAAGATGAATCTTTAAATTTCACACCTCTTACTTTGGCCACAAGCAGCTTTATCATCAGATAGTCTATTAGAACATTGAATAACATAGGTGAGAGAACGCATCCCTGGCATACTTCCGGTTCTCCTAAAAAAAAAAAAAAAAGTATGTAATATAACTAACTGTTGACCCTCACCCAGCTGTTCCACAGCACAGTTCTTCTACTGAGCACATTAAGTCCTCAGGCACCTCATACTGGTGTAGTGGTATCCACAGTAGTGATTGATGTACTGAGTCAAAAATGGCTGCAAAGTAATAAACGTAATTCTAAATAAATGTTAGCTTCCTTTTGTTACTCTAGTAGTTTTCCAGTAACATTCTGCAGAGCATATATAGTGTGAATTGTAGATTGACCAGTACGGCGATCATGCTGGTTATGTCTCATTTTTGGGTTGAGACAGTATTTCAGTCAGTCCAATAGTATGATTATGAACACTTTCCCTGGGACTGACAGCAGCATTATTCCCCTATAATTTGGCCATGATGATTGCTACTTTAAAAAAAAAAAAGGGGGGGGGGGGACGCAGCCCCTTTTCCCAGTCTTACAGAATGTGACTGGTTTCCCAAACTTTTAAGACAACTCTTTGAAGCCAGTGAAATAAATCTAGGCCTCCACTCTTTAGTAGTTCTAATGAAATATTGTCAAGACTAGGCACTCATTTTGTATCTGTTTAACCACAACCATCACTTTCTCTAATGTCACTAGCCTATTTTCTGCTGGCTTCATTTTTCGACTGAGTTGTAGTTTACATCTTGGTGGGGATCTGTTCATTAATTCACAACAGTACTAACACCAGCACTTAAATCATATAACAGTATCCTGGCACTATTCTCCATTTTTGTCCTTACCCGGCAGAAGCCAAAAAATGGATGTCCAATTAGGACCTTCAAAGTCTTGAATACCCTTGTCAAGTCATGTCTTTCAGAGGCTTCCTCAATGCACCGCATGATATTATTCCACTATGGATTATGATCGTTCAGACAGACCCTCTTGACTGCTTGTTCAAGACATCTTTTCCTCCATTGCCCATTTCCTCCTCTTAATTGACTTGACTCTGACCTTCCAGCGCATCCATTCTGCACAACACTTTTTTTCTTCCTATTATTTGATGATATTGTCTGTAATCCAGTGTTACGTTTTCATTCTCCTTAATCCCAGTTCTTCTCCAGCAATCTCTGTGATAGAATCCCAAAATAAAGTGCACTCTTACTCCGAAGTAAACAACTGGTCATCCAATATAGAATATTTGTGGGAAATCATTACAGTGTTACTGTTAGGAATCTCTTCTTCATGAAGCTTATCAACACAAAAGCGGAAGAAGTCAAATTAAAAGAACCCCAAATGTATAATTTTTTTTAATTACACCTCTACCCCGATATAACATGAATTCGGCTATAATGCGGTAAAGCAGTGCTCCGGGGGTGGGCAGGGCTGTGCACTTTGGTGGATCAAAGCAATTTCGATATAACGTGGTTTCACCTATAATGCGGTAAGATTTTTTTGGCTCCCGAGGACAGCGTTATATCACGGTAGAGGTGTATCTTGATTTTTTTTTTTTAAGACCATCTCATGGTTTTTTGGAGGTTGGGGGCCCTGATTAATGATTTTTGAATTCTTGGAGTTGGTAATGCTGAAATAATGGAAGATAAAACCAGGATTTTTTAAGGATAGTTGTTAAGGAAAGCAAACTTGATTCAATATGGGACCTAACCCAGCGGCCAAAAAAGCAAGCTAAGAGGCCAGTGTCTAACAGGTCCAAGTTCTCAGATTCAGAAAAAAAATCTTAACAGAAAAACACACATTTTCTATTGGTGTAAGACCTGGAAAATTGTGTAGACAAGTAGAAAGAAGATGAGACTGATTGCTAAAGATTCAGAGTTATGTAATTTATATTATAGATAGCTTTGGGAAAGAAGTGAAAATAAAGACAGAAATATATGTACTCCACTTGTGAAGACTGAAGGTAAATAAATAAGAGCAGAGATGTGAGTGCTAGTGTTTATTAAGATTGAAAGTAAGGGAAAAGAAAATCCAGCTTCATATGTACAACAGGTAAGGATGAAAATGACTTACAGAAATAGAGATCTGAGATTTGAAGATGAGGATGAAAAGTCTCAGCTGGAGCCAAAAGGAAAAAGGCATAAAGCAGTACTGTGTCTTGAGACTCTACCTAAAAATGGCATCAAATCTGAGAAATGAATAAGGTGGTAGGGCTAAATGATAGATTATCTGGGTGGTGCAAGATAGATTTAGGATCTGTGGCTAAAAGAATGTTTGGGGTTTAGACGTGAATGGTGCATAATGTAGAGCAGGGCTGCACCTCCGCTGCGTAGCTGCAGACTCTCTAGTACTCCTAAGTGCTGTAATTTTTATAAAGTAGAGATTGGCGTAGGAAGGAATATAGTGGAGACATTCAAAGGGGTGGGGGAGCTGCATGATAATAGATCTGTGAAAAAGAGAGACCGAAGTAGTAGTTTTCAAATGAAAAGCTAGGAAGAAATTTTCCAATCACTGGATAATTTTTTGTTTTGTAAGCAAATGCAGTGGGTACAAAAATCTGAAATAGTAGAACTGTACTTTCCCCTTAAATGTCTCTGGAATCAGAGAGAAGAATGGTCTGCAAGAAAATGTCAGAATAACCTGGAGATGTTATAATAGCTGACATTACATACTCCAGAATGAATGCTTTATTCAGTCTATGGAGAAAATATTTGCTTATAAAGGAAGATTTTCAAAAACCCCAAAGGGATTTAGGAGTGAAAGTCCCATTGAAAATCAGAATACAAGAACGGCCATACTGGGTCAGACCAATGGTCGATCTAGCCCAGTATTCTGTCTTCTGACAGTGGCCGGTACCAGATACTTCAGAGGGGATGAACAGAACAGGGCAATTTATTGGGTGATCCATCCTGTCATGCTGTCCGAGCTTTTGGCAGAGGTTTAGGAACATCCAGAGCATGGGTTGTGTCCCTGACCATCTTGGCTAATAACCATTGATAGCCTATTCTCCATGAATTTATCTAGTTCTTTTTTTAATCCAGTTATACTTTTGTCCTTCACAGCATCCCTTTGCAATGAGTTCCGCAGATTGACTGACTGTGCATTGTCTGAAGAAATACTTCCTCATGTTTGTTTTAAACCTGCTGCCTATATATTTCTTTGGATGACCCCTGGTTCTTGTGTTATGTGAAGGGGTAAATAGCACTTCCTTAGTCACTTTCTCCACAACGTTCTTGATATTATAGACTTTTATCCTTTCCCCCCTTAGCCATCTCTTTGGGCTTGTTCAGCTTGGAAATCTTTTTAATCTCTCCTCATGTGGAAGCTGCTCCATACCCCTAATTATTTTTGTTGCCCTTCTCTCTACTTTTTCTAATTCTAATGTATCTTCTTTACGATGGGGAACACCAGAGCTGCATGCAGCATTCAAGGTGTGGGCATACCATGGATTTATAGTGTGGCATTATGACATTTTCAGTCTTATTATCTATCTCTTTACTAGTGGTTACTAATGTTCTGTTAGCTTTTTTGACTGCTGATGCATGTTGAGCAGATGATTTCGGAGAACTATCCACAGTGACCCTAAGATCTTTCTTAGGGTCTAACTTAGCTGTTAACACTTATCATTTTATATCCATAGTTGTCATTCTGTTTTTCAATGTGCATTACTTTGCATTTATCAACGTTGTGTAAACGTGCAACAAAATGGCAGATGTAGTTCAGTTTTATGAAATTCCTTTGTAATGCGTCATAATCGGCTTTGGACTTAACAATCTTGAGTAATTTTGTATCATTTGCAGACTTTGCCAACTCACTTTTTACCCATTTTTTCCAGATCTTTTATGAATATGTTGAACAGAATTGATCCCAGTACAGATGCTTGGGACACCCTGCTATTTACCTCTCTCCACAGTGAAATCTGACCATGTATTCCTACCCTTTGTTTCCTGTGTTTTAACCAGTTGCTTGATCCCTGGTGAGAACCTTCCCTTTCATCACTGCCTACTTTGCTTAAGAGCCTTCGGTAAGGGACCTTGTCAAAACTTTCTTAAAGTCCAAGTGCGCTAAATCCATTGGATCACCCTTGTCCACATATTTGTTGTTACCCTTGAAGAATTCGAATAGGTTAGTGAGGCACGATTTCCCTTTACAAAAAGCCCTGTTGACTTTTCCCCAACATGTCGTGTTCACCTAAGTGTCTGATAATTCTGTTCTTTACTATAGTTTCAGCCAATTTGCCTGGTACTGAAGTCAGGCTTATGGGCCTGTATGATAGTCTGTACCCTCGCGCACATCCTCGGCATAGAGCATCTGAACTAGCAGCACAGCTATGTCGGTACAGCTGCTCACTGTAGTACTGGTAGTGTAGACTAGCTTTTAGGTTCTTAAGGGCCAGATTTTTAAACTTTATTTAGGAGTCTAAAGATGCAGCTAGATCCATGCATTTTTTACGTGGCTAAATATCTTAAAGAATCTGTCCCTAAGTGCCTAAGTCACTTTTGAAAATGGGCCTTAGGCACTTTTGAAAATGTTTGTGTCTGTAGCGTGTCTCTCAGATATAATGGGTTAGATCCTCAGCTGCTGTAAATTGTCATAGCTCCATTGAAGTCAATGAGGTTTTGAGAACTTAGGGCAGCTCCTCAGCTAGTACATCATCACTGTTTTCCTTTTCCTTTTGCACTGTGAGCTTTGAGCACACACTTAGCTTTCTGAGCATGCTATTCATGGGAGGCTTTCCTCAAGAAAGGGTATTATTATTATTGCACTTCAGTGTACTATATAGGAGTGTGAGCAAGCCTACTTCTGGCCTTTTTTCAAATATGTACCACACATCACCTCACATTCTTAGTACAGTCTGCTGTGTGACTTTACATCAGAGTTGATCTGTATGTTACAATAGAATTGTACTTCACGTTAATTACTGGGAGACCCGTTGAATGTTAATGAATTTTGTGGATTAGTAAGTAATTGAATAATCACAATGTAAAAAAAACAAAAACCCAAACCTTAAGCATAAGGCACCACAAAAAGAAATGTGTTGATTTATTTTCATAATTGTAATTTAGTCCAACTATTTTATAGTTTACTGGTAAATGACCTACTATACTACGTATTGGAAACAGTACTATCAGAGTCTACTCTGCTATTGCACCTTTGCTGAGAAGTGGGGAGAGACACTGTGTGAATTAGTGTGCAGATCATTGAGTTTTCACTGTAATTCATGTTAATAATTAAGCCTATAGAAAAGAGCACTGCTGAACACTGTGAGACCAAAAATGATTTCAAACAGTCAGTCACAACAGCAGAATTCTGTTTTTCCGAGTTCTTTTTCCTCTTAGTAACCTCTGAATATTACAATTTATCAAAGAGGAAAAGAAACGGTTAAGAAGCAATTGCTATTTGTTTTGGACAATCATTACGCAGTTGCTCTGTCAAAATGTCATTCTCGTAATCATCCTATAAATCCCTTCAGCAATTTCATTTGCAACTCTGATTCTTATTTTTGCGTAGTTGGCCAGAATTTCAGCCCTCTGACAGTGGTGTAAACTGGGGGAGGTGTTGTGTAGTGTTTGTATTCCCTGCACTAAACTTGGTGCTGGAATTTTTTTTCTAACCTGTTGGAATGTTTGTTCTTCTTAAACGGAAAGGTCTACAAACATTCATAACATTTTTGAAAGATTTGACTGTCTCAAATCTCAAACTTGAAAAGAGAGGATTTTGTTCCATTAAATCCCAGTTGGTAGGAAAAGCAGCTTGAGAGCTGGGTAAGTGAATTAACGTGGGTTAAATTTACAATAGAAAGGAGAACGTGGGAGATGCCTATTCAGACTCTGTTAAGGAAATAATAGGATTAGTTCTTGTAGTGTCAACGCAGAAAATTTAAAATGCAGACTTCATGCTGACATGAAAACATTATATATTGTTAGCTGGATCTTTGCGTGAAATCAAGGAGAATGACCATAAAGATGACTTTGCTTTGAGACAGTCCATTTGAATATTTTAAGGTGGCACTTTTGCGCGCACACACACACACAGAGAAGATGAATTAAGTATGTTAAATAGCCCACTGATGATTCCAACCAGATGCTGCTATTTGCAGTCAACATGATTTTGATTGGTACAACATAACTGGTAAAATGTCTCATAACCTAAAAGAATGATACATCAGTGTCAACCTCAGATGTTAGTGCATGTAATGGAAATATTGGGCCAAAACTTACGCTATATTCATTGCAATATTATTTTTTGTTAAATTAAATTACACATTCATTGTTCATATGTATGTACTGTAAATGTGTATACATTTTTATCCATCCTTCCGGATAAAAATGTCTTCAACTCTTCGTATACAATGTGCATTAGTCGAGCTGCCAGATACAGAAAGCATTATTTTCAGTTTCATGTTTGTTTTATCATTTCATAATCATTCATATGTACCTTTATTTTTAGCTTAAGTGAAAGACATGAAGCATTAAGACTGAATTGAGGTTATTTTGAGATCATCCGATTCCCTGCTAGAAGTTACTGTGAGAGATCATCGCCCTGAACAACTTCACACAGAATGGTAATGAAAAAAGATATAGGGCTTTTTGTTGTTCTTTCATTTCTGTGTCTTCATACCCCAATTCCTCCTCCGTTAGAGAATTGGTCCTTATTACAATGTAGGTTGTAGTTTCGTGAACACAGCATTTTACTGTCCCATAACTCGTCATTCTGTAACTTCCCCAATAGCAATCGCTGTTGGAACAGGAGGGGAGGTAATGCAGCATTTTACCAGACAAAACAACTTGATTAAGATTACTGAATGAAGTGTGTGTTTAAAACAGAGTTTACTGAATTTGGCTTGTAAATAACCAACAGATTTAGGCCTGTATTCAGGAAAACGCTTAAGCACAAAAGTGAGCCTAGGCCCAAAATTTAGGACATGCGTATGTACTTGTCTGAATTGGGATCTTAGTAATGAAGTAAAAAAAACTGTTATTGCTCTTCAGATTGGTTTGTAACAAGCACACAAAAATTTCTTCTTTGCTGCTTTGGGTATTTGGTAAATTTAGTATTTGTATGTGAACTTTTTAAAAGAAATAATCTCACTTTGGGGTGAGAGTCTCATAGAGCTAATGCTGCTGTCTGTCTTGAATTGCAGCTAAACTAAGCATTCTTTTAAATAGATCAGTGAGCATAAATCTTAGATTATTTCATACCATTTGAAATGCTGTCCTCAGAAACTCAATGGTCTTATGATCCTGGAAGACAATAATATATAGTAGTGAATAGATTGTAATTCAGAGTTAATAAAAATTCCTATACAAATAGGAATTCATTCATGATGACCAGGCTAAGTTTTTATTTTTATATATATAATAAAAAAGTATTGTATACTACAGATTACAGCACTGTACACCTTCTCCACTATGGCATTGCACGTGCCTGAAACGCTACACTCTAGTCTTCCCTCTGTGTTTATTTCACTTCCATTATGGCTAATGGAAGGTAAGCACTTGGAACAGGAGGTGATTATCATCCATATATATGTATTTAATCCAGTTTATGGTTTTGAAGTGAACGGGTCTTTATATGTACTTAATTCTTTGTGCCTTTGCCAACGCTGACCATGTTTCCAGAATAAGGCCAGGAATCTACACTCAAAAGCATACCAGTGCAACTCTATAGTTTGGGGGCAGAGATCTTGTCCCACCAGAGTTATATTGGTATAACCCCTAGCATGGGCACAGTTATGTCATATAAAGGTGCCTTACACAAGTATAGTTATTCCCAGTTTCATATGGGAATAGCTACACTGGGCTATGTCTACATTTAACATGCTAGAGCGGCACTGCGGCTTACTCCTGGGGACTTTTGTACCCAAAAATTAAAAATTCTGCATACAATATTAGAAAATTCTGCATATTTTATTTGTACAGTTAACACCATATAATCACGCTGGTTTCAGTTATTTCGGTAATTTATTTAAACTATAATACTATGGATGGAGAATGGGTTTGGAGACTGGAGGAAATCCCCAAGTCCCCTCTGTCTAATAGTAATGTAGCAATGTTGACCCTTTACTTCTAGTTATTAGTCAACAAATATATGCAGCCACACACTCAGTGTTACATCATACACAACTGAAGAGCAAGTGAGGGCTGGGGACTCAAACTCACAATTTATATTGGCTACTGACCATCTCCGGAAAGGTAGGGTTACCACATTTCCACAATCAAAAAAGAGGACACTGGGTGGGGGAAGCCCCACCCTGCCCCCATCCACTTCCTCCCACTTCCCACCCCCATGACTGCCCCCCTCAAACCCCGACCCCCCCCCTGCTTCTTGTCTCCTGACTGCCCCCTGTTGAGAACCCCCCACCCTAACTGCCTAAGGCTCTGGG